AACACCCACTATCATCATCAACATGTTGTGAAACTTTGAATTCTTTAAAAGGAAACATTATTATTATGGTAATACGAGCGCTTTGCAATATAGATGATAGCGGTAATCAATTTGAACAAGCACTTTTAACCCCTTGTCAATTTGTGTTCTTTCATTGCAGTGCTAAAATAACACAATTTAGACAGAAGTCACCCCATGTATCATGGATTAAAGTTAAGCAACACGTTCCTTATATTTAATTTGCATATTACATTGTCTTTAATGAAGTGTATGCGATTTCTCATATTGTTTTATTACATTTTCCTTCAGCAGTGGATCAAATATTCTTTATCTTTTTGTAATAGAATAGCAATGCTGTAAAATATAAAATAAACTTTTTGTGTGTAGAATATACTGGATCTTAATTTCCTGGAAAAATGCTGTTTCTAGGCACGGAAACACACACAAAGGTCACATATATTGTGACTGAAATAGCTGAACTATGGCAAATGTAAAAACCTATGAGAATAATGTAAATCATAGTCATTAATGTCTTAATCAGGTGTGTTACAAAAACACAAAGGCAGATTTTACAGTAACACACAAGAGAGAAAACTCAGTAATGCTCTAATCACATGCTTGCGGGTGTGGAGTTTTAAATGCACATTGGTATAGAACTCACCTAACAGGTTTGGCAGGTTAGCTTGCATTCTGTGGTCATTTAATGAAAATAAGACCTTCATCAATGCTTAAATTAGCATGTAGGTAGGATTTGGGATTTAATTAAATATATATAGAGAATGAATATGAATGGTCAAAGGTCTTCTTAGGTGTTAGTAGTTTTAATGTTGCATGAGCAAAATTGCTAAATTGTGAACGATTAACATATCAACGCTCTGGGTCTTCTAAAAAATATATATATATATATCCCATTTATTCAAAAAAGTAAATCTTCCACTTATTAATTATTATTACTATTTATATAGCACCATCAAATTCTGCAGCAATGTATTACAGACATGTTTTCAGCAAGATGAGTTGGACATACAGGAACAGAAGGTGCTGAGGGACCTGCTTAACCCATCTTACATTCTATAATGCATTGCAATTGAAACACAAGATAATGTTCCGACCACATTATGCAGTCTTTGTTAAAATCTCAGTTTGGGAGAATGTGTGTTACAAAAAAGTGCCAATAGTGAAAACCGTGTATAGCAGCTCTGTACACTCGTGTGGAAAAAATTGGTATACAAAAAAATCTATACCTTAAGTGGAGCATCTTCCAGCACAATTGGAGATAATCCAGGCAATCTCTGACATTACTCCATTATCTGAACAGGCTATAAGAAACATGCTGCAGATACTGAGATCCTCTCTCCAGGAGGATCTCTGCAAGTTCTCAGCAGATCTCCTCAAAGATATGAAGAAGCTGGGGTCCTGCATTGATCATGTGGACAATCAGGTGGAGGAATTGTGCTCGTGTAAAAGGAAGTGGTAAGTAAAATCCAGAATCTGAAAGAGTCACATAACTCTCTAGTGGCTAAGGTAGCCAACATTTAGGATTAATCCCCGCCTAATATTTTAAGGATTCATGAAATCCCAGAGTCAGTCACTCAGTCAGTCAGTCACTCTCTTCTTATCAATGTTACCAGATAGACCAGATGAGGATTTATTGTTTAACCGGGCCCACAGGATTCCAAAATCCAGAGGCCTATCTTCATCTGCTGCCTGCAACTATCATCATGTTAAGGATGCCATAATTGCGGCCAGGGCTGCGATCAAACTCGAGTTCTATTAGGCTTCCAATTTTCAATACAATAAATATCCATATATCCTAAGACAGGGATTATTCCATCCACGCACTAAACAGCAGAGCTCTTAGTAGCTCTAGAGATTGTGAGTTAGTTTTTTATTAGATTTTAAAAATTCTTTTAAAACTTATGTGACAAATTGCGCTATTATCTTCTTCTATTCTAGTTTGTTCTGAGGTCCCCATACACCAGCAAAGTATTGGACCTCCTTAAGTGTATGGCGCGGTTACCACATCTTTTGTCGTGTTTAGTAAATGTAGAGTGTGTTTTTGTGTAAAGATGTAGTATGTGTTTAGTGAATGCAAGTGTGTGTTTGTGTAAATATGTAGTGCATGTTTAGTGAATGCAGAGTGTGTTTGTGTAAGGATGTAGTGTGTGTTTAGTGAATGCAGAGTGTATGCTTGTGTAGTGGATGTAGTGTGTCTATAGTGAATGCAAAGTGTGTGTTTGTGTAGTGAATGTAGTGTGTGTAGTGAATGCAGAGTATGTGTAGTGAATGCAGAATGCAGAGTTTGTACATCCTTACACAAACACATACTCTGTAGTCACTACAAACACTACACTACATCCTTACACCGAGCGTGTGTTTGTGTAAGGATGTTGTGTGGTTTAGTGACTGCAGAATGTGTTTTAGTGTAAGGATGTAGTGTGTGTTTAGTTAATGCAGAGTGTGTGTGTGTGACAAAATCCCTATTTTGCCTTCCCCACAGTCATTCTCCTACTCTGTTCGGACATTTAGTTAATATTGTATTCCCCATTTCATTCTAAAGAACTACTTTCCGAACACCGACCACCCCCTGGCTACTTAAGTTCAAACAAACCACGGGAATTCAGTGCTCTCTTTGTGTCGTGCCATCTTGTCGCACTTTGAGGCGGCCACTCAACGGCCCGAACAATGGTGAAAACGTACGAACGCCTGCTTCTAGTCAGGAGAGTGCTGTTCGACAAGAACTTCTGAACAAACCCCACACTATGAGCCAGGGAACCCCGTTCACCTTTTTATTCGTACAGCATTGCATTTCGTGTGAAAACTCTCGAACTAGACTGACCGCTACCCCTGAACTTATCTAACTATTTCTGGCAGACATCGCCAGAGCGGTCAGTCAATTTTTTCCTCAGTGGCGATTTGACTATGTTCTTGGGATCTGAGTGCTTTTCAAATATGTTGTGCGCTCAGATCCACGCTATCTGGGGATGTGCAGACTATGGGGGTTCAGTTGCAAGAAATATAACTTTTGTATTTTAAAGTGTTTTTGTGAAATATTAAAAGAGTGAATATTTTCTGTACTTAGAGATAATTGAGTTGAAGCCAGCCACTTAACTCAATTATCTTCCAGATTCGGGGGAGGGACTATATTGTTTGTATTGGGAGTGTCACTCTTTGTAACCTTGCTGTTATTGGTTATTGTGTTTGTGTCCTTGTCCCCAAAAAGGTCCATGTGGGCGTACACCTTGCTCGGAGACTTGCATATACTCAGTCGGAGTATAGGGGATCCATTACAGTGTGTAAAATGAAGTGGTGGTGCATACTGTGGGGAGGGATGCCCTGATGGTGTCCCTGATTGCGGCCAACTGCAAGTCACACTCCATCTTTGATCCATTTTCAGGCATCTCTATTTTTGTATAAAAAACAACCAAGAGGTATATTGGTGCTTCTAATTCCTATTCAATGTGCACCATAAGTGTATGACAACAGTATTTCCCCTATTTCCCCAAGCAAATCATATAAAATATATTTTTTTAAAGTCAGACACCCAATAGTGACCACATAAAAATATTCTTATGTAAAGACATGAGTTGAAACTTCCTTGTGCAAAATATATAATTACAGGAGTTTAAAACAAAAACATGCATACCGTACTCTGGGTAAAAAATATTAAAATGAGTGAAAAGAGTAAGACTAACAAATGTAGAGCCGTGCCAGGCTCCATAGAATGTGCTTCAAGGTGTCAATTCTGGCTAGGATATCCAAAACAATAGCGAATGCAGGAATCATAAAATGTAATTTATTAAATAAAAAAATTTTAAAAAGTAAAAAAAGAGTGCACAGAAATGTGTGAATTCATTTACCAATATTAAATACTTTAACCCATTAAGGACCAAACTTCTCGAATAAAAGGGAATCATGACATGTCACACATGTCATGTGTCCTTAAGGGGTTAAGCAATGCAAGATGTATAAATAAATAAGTAGAAAAACATTGCAGAGTCCATGTAAAAGTCAGGTGCGTTTCGACCATCCTTCTCCTGTTCCCATTAAAGATTCCCAAAGCTATCCCTCATTCAAATCCCCCCTGGATTATTTGATTAGGCACACCTGTGACAGCACTACCTCACTTCCCTGTCAGCAGTGAGTTTCGTTATCTCCGCGTGACCCCTTTCATGTCATATCCTGCTGGTCATCTGATATTGACTATTTACTGCGGCTCTGCAGCATTGTGCCATGAAGGGGTTGGACTGTTCTGTTGCCGTTGCCATCTTGCATATGGGCTAGCTGCCCTCATGTTAAACACAAGCCCTACTCTTGAGGGAGTATCACCATGTTAAGGATGCCATAATTGCATCCAACTGCAAGTCAAACTTCATCTTTGATCCATGCCGAGAAGGGGTTAGACTGTTCTGTTGCCGGGGTCGTTTTGAATATGGGCTAGCTGCCCTTAGGTTAAACACAAACCCTACTCTTAACAACAAAATTATCTAACAAGAAGCACACATCAAAAACGTAATAACATAAAAAATATATCAGGGGGCGTGGCTAACCAGTTAATGGAGTAAGATGCACACTCCTGGGGCTCTGCAAGCTCAGCCCACATAGGCACTAATAATTAGTGCTTTTACTTTCCGAAAACGCGATGCTTGGCAACCCCTGGCAACCCCTGGACCCTTGAGCTCCTGTTCACTGAGGCGAGCTATTGGCCCCATGGCCGATTTTCTGTCCACCCCCCAATGGCCTTCGACACATGTGACCGGGCGACAAAATGGTGCTGAACTCCTCTGGCATGAAAAGCATGGCGGACTCACTACTGGGCTCCCTGCAAGGTGAATCACTCACCTAAATCTCTGCTGAGCTGGCCACAATCTTGGAAAACATGCTCACCAGGGCTGACAAAACAGCCTTAGTAGCCGAGCTGCGCTCAGTGATCAGAGAGGAAGTCCAGGAAGCGCGCAGAGACCTCACCCCCCTCGAGCATGGAGCTGGAAGCGTATTGCCTGCAAGCCATCCAACACTCTCAGGCAGCTGGCACTGCAACCTCTAGGCAAGGCTCGGTTCTCCTTGAACTGTGCAAGCAAGTAGAGGACCTTGACAATGGTGGCTGACTGTCACGATACCTAGTGACCCAACACGCAGTTAATATGATAATAGATTAGATAATGATTATCAGTCCTTAGAATGGCCAGACTATGCGTTATAGAATAGAGAATGGTCAGGTACAAGCCAAGTCAGGGAAGCCAGAAATTATGGAAGCGAAAAAACAGTAGCCGAATCAGGGAGAAAAGAACAGAGAATAGTCAGGAGGAAGCCAAGATCCAAAATAGCAAAGTAGACACAGAAATACAACGCACTTTGGGAAACTGTAAACAGAAACCACAACAGGGAAATGATCCATTCCCTGAATGTCCTTTTTATATGCTACACCTTTCATTGTTAGCCACGCCCCCAAAACGTTCAAATTCGAACGTTTTGGCGGACCGTAACGTCATCGGCCACATCATAAAAAAGGGCTCAGTTATAGCAGCCAGCGTCGGAATCGTTGAAGTCATGAGAGGGACCGTGGGAAGGGTCCCTCTCCCCATCCTGGACCTTCTCAGGCTGTTTAACTGTCTGGGTAACGCAAGGTACCATGACACCGACGCAATAATATCCGCATCAAAGGCTTACCTGAAAACAAAGGAGAGGACACAACTATTTACACAGATCCTTGGGGAAAAAGCCCCAGGCAAATATCATATTGAAAGAGCTCATAGAGCACTCCCGCCACCCAGGAGCAATGGTCTCTCTTTTGATGTCATTTGCTGCCTGCGGTCCCTCCAACTTAAGGACGCCATTATGCAAGCTGTTAGGCCGCAAGCCATTACTTACCTAGATGTACAGATCTCCCTCAGGATCTTTTCTTGCTGACTCTGTATGCCCACCGAGCACTGAGACCACTCACCCACCTGCTCCAAGAACAGAGAATCCTTTATAAGTGAGGTTTCCCATTTAGCTTGCAGACCCATAAAGATAACTCCTGGTGCCCCCCTTATATGGCCAAATAATGCAACAGGGTTCCTGCAAGCCCTGAGCCTCCAAGCAGTGTCTGTCCCGAACTGGATCTTGAAAGGAACCCTCCCAGCGCCCCAGCCCGCCGGTGAGACCTGACCGGCCCTACCAACCATAGAAGTTACTAGCCATGGTGGCACGGACCCAAGTGACTGGAGCTGCCTGATCCACAATGTGAATGATCTCGGGACGCTAGCACCCCTTGTTCCCTTACCACCTCGGAGGCAGGAGGACCATGACTCACATAGAGTATGTACTTGCAAAGTCCCGCTGCTCCCATGACACTTGATCTCACCCTCTCTTGAGTTGTGTTCCTCTCAGTAGTCTATGGCAGTGAAAGTGGAGCTAACGCAGCCCCTGGGAGGGAGAATTTGGTTTGGGTGGGAGAATTTTATTTTTATATAATATTGGGCCTTCCATGGAATATCTGCCTAAAAGCACTCAGATCCCACGAACATAGTCAAATCGCCACTGAGGAAAAAATTGACTGACCGCTCTGGCAATGTCTGCCCAGAAATAATTAGATAAGTTCAGGGGTAGCGGTCGGTCTAGTTCGAGAGTTTTCACATGAAATGCAATGTTGTACGAATAAAAAGGTGAACGAGGTTCCCTGGCTCATAGTGTGGGTATCTGGAGGTATCTAAAAGGGGAAGGTACGCAGACACTCAGCCCTGTTCGCCACAACAGTCCAGGAAATATGTTGTTGAGCCTGAGACTGCTCCATGTTGACTCTGCCTGCTGTGTCCTTACTGGTCATATGCTTTTAGTATGTAGTTCAACATGGCTCATGAATTACAAAGCAGCTACCGTGGTCTGGGCACATACGATAGCATTTCAAATACCACGACAAATCAAACTCACCTGGTTATTACAAACCCCACGCAACAGACCCTACCTGTACATTTGATCGGAACCGGCAGAACAGTGTACCCCAGGTGGGCCACACACACCGGGTATACCTAACTGATCTTGGGTCATAGTTGCCTGACATTAATTTCTCTGACCAGTCTCCTCATTCCTCCACCTAACCAACTACACATTGACCATCCCCTCCCCCTCTAGTTTTTCTCTCTTTCTTTCCTCTCTCTATTTTCTCCCCACCTCTATCACTATCCACTGCCGTGACGACAGAATTCCAGCCTACGCCATTGTGGCTCTGGACTAACACCAGGGGCATTAACATTCCTGAAAAATGCAAACCGTTCCTGTGGACGCTGTGGTCACTCAGGACATCACTTGCTTTCTTGCAGGAGATGCAGTTTAAAGAACGGAGTGCCCCATTGGGCTTCTTTTCAAATCACCAGGAAGCAAAGCGCTCAGGCGTAGCCATTTTCTTCGCACAGACAGTACCATTCCAATGCACAGCCACACAGATAGACCCTCTAGGACGGTATCTCTTTGTGAAGGGTAACATAGCGGACCGCCCATACTTCCTGGCCAACATATACTGCCCCAACCGGGGGTAATATTTATTCCTTGCCCAGACTCTGTGAAGGATGCGAATATCCATTTTACTATCGATCCTAGCTGTTCATATTAAGAGTTAATTTGAAACTTGGAATGATCATTATTCTATTTCTCGGAAAACCTTATTGATTTCAAAATATGTTCTTGTTATTGTCCAAAAATTTTTTATTTGTAAACATCTGTTTTTTATCAAATATACTTGATTGTTAACAATGATTGCTTAAATAAATCTGTTAATGGTTTTGCTAGTACACCACTAAGCTCTTTTAATAGCTTTGGGTATATTCCATCATGTCCCATTGACTTATTTGTCTTTACTTTTGACAGTTGAAATAGAACCTCTTCCTCTGTAAACTCACGTGTAATAAATGACTAATTTATCCTTTTTCTCAACTGAGGTCCCTTTCCTTCATTTTCATCTGTAAATACAGAACAAAAATATTAATTGAAGCAATCAGCTAGGCCTTTATCCTCTTCTACATACCTTCCTTCTTTTGTTTTTAATCTAATACTTGTTTTACTTTTCTTTTATCATTTATGTATCTAAAAAATGTTTTATCACCTTTTTTACTGACCGTGCTATTTTCTATTCTGTGTGTGATTTGGAAGCTCTTATAACTTGCTTAGCCTCTTTCTGCCTAATCTTATAGATCATCTTGTCTTCCTCACTCTGTTTTTTTCTAAAGTCTAAAACTTTTGTTTTTGTGTGTTGTGACTCAGTCACTGTTCTTATATTAAACCACACTGACTGATGATCACTGGATCCTAAACTTTCACCTACAGTAATATCTGATGCCAAATCTCCATTAGTTAACACTAAATCTAGTATGGCCTCTTTACGAGTTGGCTCCTCAACAACTTGTTTTAGAGACAATCCCAGTAGTGAGTTTAGAATATGTGTGCTCCTGGCACAAGTAGCTAATTTTGTTTTCCAATTTACATCAGGAAGATTAAAGTCACCCATGATGATAACTTCCAACTTCATTGTCAGTTTAGCTATTTCCTCAACCAGTAGATTGTTAGGTACCTCCAGTAATAAATGTACAAACCGCCGTTTAGTGAATGCTCCCCATTCGCAATAACGTGGTCTGGTAGCGTGTACAGTATAACCATGCGAACCGCCAGCTAGGGAACACTCCAAACTCCCGAAAGGTACCTGTACGGCTCTTTCCCTTCACGAGCTCCAAATCCACGAACTGCCAATATTAGCCGAACGCCAATATCTTCCAAGCGGCAAATAATTCCAATAAGCAGTCTCTAGGCGCCGGTAATAAAATCCCCCCCAATAACGAGACCAAGCTCCGCTTTGAGGGTAAAACACAAACTGATTTACTGTGGGCTACCTGCCCGGTATTTATGCAGGTCTCCCACTTGGTGGACACTCCCCTAGGGGACCAAATGGGAGACTGGAATAACAGAAGGACATGGTGACATTTCAGACATACATCCCCACAATATTCCCAGCATGCATCACAGTTCCCTCCCCTCTGCTCGGGAGATAATTGGGAAGTAATTCAATTATCTCCCAGAGCAGAGGCAAATCGCCATTTTAAGTACAAGTCATAAAACACATAAAAATACATAACTTTATAACTGCCGAACATATTGCATTCGTGTAACACATCCCCAGATAGCCTGGATCTGAGTGCATATTATTGGCGAATAGCGCTCAGATCCCATTCGCATAGTTCAATCGCCATGGAGTCAAAGTCTATTACAGTTCTTCGGTATGCGATTGACTCCATGGGAAGGCTATCTGGGTTAAGTCCATTCGTGTTGTTGAATCTCCCGAACGGCCGGCATTCGTATGCTTTTGTCGATTGAGAAGGGGAGGTCGACGGCTTCAGCGGTGTTCGGTTGAAAAAGTGTCCGTTTTCAGTTCCATGAAATAACCGTCGAACACCGCTGGTCTTTCGCATGGTTAAAATGGCCGCCGCCTCGTGGTCGACATACGAACGACGACCACCCGGTATTCAGTTTTAATTGAGAAGTGTCTGTGATTAACCGCAACGTTCTAATTGGGATCAATAGGTTAACCAGCAGCACACTTCTCTTCTGGGTGGCCGTCCGTTCGGTAGTTCCGTTCGACAAAAAACAGACATTCCCTTAAACAAAGCATACGAATGGGGGAATTCATGCAAACGGCAAAACAGACGAACACAGTGCTTTTAGTCCATACAGATGGGTCTGTCACACGGCTCCCCCCTTGTGGAACACTCAAGCAGACCTGGCTTGACCCTTTGGCGGATCAACTTGGGGATGACCGGACTGGGAAGGAGTAGGGACGTCTGTTTGCCGAGATAACCCATCCGCATTCCCATTCTGCTTACCGGGTCGGTAGCTGATGGTGAAGTTATAAGGCTGCAGTGCCAAACTCCACCTCAGCAGTCTGCCATTGTCTCCTGAGACCCGGTTAAGCCAGACAAGGGGATTGTGATCCGTTATAAGTGAAAACTCCTGCCCGTACAAATAAGGGCTTAATTTCTTCAGTGCCCAGACCAGGGCTAAACACTCTTTCTCCACTGCCGCATAACTCACTTCCCGAGGTAGTAACTTTCTGCTTAGGTATGCGACAGGGTGCTCTCCTCCATCTTCCCCGACCTGGCTCAGCACAGCCCCCAGTCCATACATGGAAGCATCTGTATGAACGAGAAAACGTTTGTTAGGGACTGGGGCAGCCAGGACAGGGGCATTCACAAGAGCTTGCTTCAATGCCTGAAACGCGGCTTCAC